TTTATTTTTATAATTTAGCGCCTCGCTTCGCTCGGGCGAGCGCCTAGCGCCTTGGGCGTTTGTGGACCTTCGCGCCTAGCGCTTTTTAAATCACTGGTCAGCCTGTGATATTATCCTCAAACTTAAGTACTATCAACATTAGAAATGGGCTATTGTGTAAGCTATGGAACTCTCGCTATTTATATTTTGTTCCTCTTTTTGTGGTATAAAAGCTTTTCAAAGTATACAATCATCATATCGTAGGCTTGTTGATGACTCAGGTCATGTAGTTTTTTTAGTAAAGGGCCAGTGAGGTCTGACCTGTACTTGACTGGATTAGTCTGCAGATCAAGCATTCCTCAACTAATCTGGCATGGGGGATCGCTGAGGTCACTTGACTGTTGGAGATGTCAATATGATCAGCCATTAAAACTAGGGAGGAAAAGTGATTGATAATAGGAATACTGGTTAGAGAACCTACTTGCAGGAAGCCTTCCTAAGCTTAGGATGTACTCTATGTCATCACTATTCATATGATCATGCTAGAAATAAAATGGCCATGGTTAAATATGAATTCTTTCTGAATAGGATAAGATAATTTCCCATAGCCTTTTTTGTTTGAAGTAACGAAGAATTGGAAGATGTAATATCAAGTTATAAAATGAGCACCAAACTTATAATGGTGCACGGGAAGTGTCTATTACTTGTATTATGTAATGTTCATTAGTCTGAGAGAGTTTTATCTTAACTCTTCAACAATGAAGTAAAATAACTATGATAAAAAAATCATAAAGAGCAATTAGCTTTTGGTTTTGGAAGGGAATTCTTAATTTTTCAACTATTTCCATTTACTTTGCAGTAATAGTTTGTTTTTAGTGTTAGTTTATATGATAAATTGTTGTTATTTTAATTTGGTTGTTGCTTTAACATCTAATCTCAAAGGTCTAAAGCACACTCATCTGTAACTCAGTCTTTGTAAATTATATCTCATCTTCATGTCCTTGTACATAGGTGTTGAGTCAGATCATACCATTCACTTAATTCGTGGTTCTGCTCGTTCAGCCGTGTCAGTTAACACAGAAGTGCATAATCAAGGACCTTCAAGGACATCAGATAGAAACTCAGCATCTGGTTTTTTTGGAACTGGAATTCCAGAATTTGATCAAATGCAGCAGCTAACTCAGAACTGTAACGTAACAAGGGAAATTATGAACTTGCCTGCGATTCAGAACCTTATTAACAACCCTGATATCATCCGGAGTCTTTTTATGGACAATCCCCAAATGCGTGAGATCATTGATCGCAATCCTGATCTTGCACATGTTCTCAATGATTCAAGCACTCTGCGGCAGACACTTGAGGCAGTAAGAAACCCTGAACTCATGAGAGAGGTGATGCGTAATTCTGACAGGGTTATGAGCAATATTGAATCTTCTCCAGAAGGATTCAACATGCTCCGACGCATGTATGAAACTGTTCAGGAGCCATTCTTTAATGCAGCAACTATGGGAGGAGACTTAGGTGGTAATGTGGGTTCCAATGCTTTTTCAGCTCTTTTGATAAATCAGGTTACTGGACAAGACAGTGAAAGATCATCGAACTTAACCACTAGTTCAGAACCAACAACTGGTTCTGGACCAAATACCAATCCACTCCCCAACCCTTGGGGCAGCAATGGTTAGTTTCTGATCATGTTTGCTTTATCTGGATTCCGATTGTTGATCTGTGAGCCCTTTTGCCGTGGACTATTGATTAGTTTGTTTTGACAGCTGTAGGGGCTCAGCCAGTAAGTACAAGGTCAGACCCTGGCAGCACAACTGGCATCCCTGGATTAGGTGGACTTGGTTCACTGGATATGGAACACATGGTTGGTAGGTTGCAGGATTCATCCCAATTAAGTCAGGTTTTGCAAAATCCTGCCATGATGCAGACGATGCAAAATCTTCTTTCTGACCCTCAGTATGTCAATCAGGTAGGATTCAAATACAGATGAGTAATTTGACAAGTTTGTGGTTTCTTACTTTTGATTGCTAACTGCTGTAGATGCTTGATTTAAATCCCAACATGCGTGGTCTGTTGGAATCCAATACTCAGTTAAGAGAGATGCTGCAAAATCCAGATTTTCTTTGCCAGCTTATGTCTCCTGAAACTATGCAGGTGACTTGTGACTGAAGCGCTATGAGATTCTTTTGTAGGTGTTCTTAGTTGTGAACTAAATAATTCTTTCCGGCAGCAATTGTTATCCTTTCGACAGTCTATGTTCTCCCACGTTGGTCGGCAGCAGTCAAGTCTGTGAGTGCTATCATCTGCTTTGGCATTTCATTTTCATTGATCTAGTGTCTTATTTCAGTTTTCTTTCTTAGAAGTATAAAGCATGGCTTTTTAAACCCCCATGGGTGATATACTTATTCCTCATGCCACTAAATTTATTTAACTCGAATACATTACTCATCTGTGAAATCTTCATTGTTCCTTATGGTGTAAGCATGCAAGTAGGAACCATTAACTACATAAATACTTGACTAATAAATAAATCAAGGACCCTGCATTTTGTTCTTGAATATTTTCACACGAAAATATTATCACATGCCTAACTTTTTATAATAACTCTGTTTTTTGTTTCGATATTTGGATTCACTTTTTATGTTTCTGTTTCTGTCTCTTGCAGGGAACAAGGGCAAACAGGTGGTGGTGTTGGTAAGAACAAAATTCAACTTTAAATGAATTTTGTCTTTTTTTCTTCTTATGATTCTACTCTTTGCTTGTTATTCTCAGGTAATTTATATGTATATGATTAGATGATTGATCCATAGGTTGCAAACTTAACCCAAAATTTCACTGGTTTTTATGATGACATGAAAAGCTAACCGTCAATAATGGTGACTGACTGTGAAAATAACTAGTGGTGGATATATGAAGAGTGAAATACAACTTAAGAAATTCAAATATGCTAAATTTAGTTGTGGGAAGGACATATAGTATGATCGTATCTATTTATTGGCATCTTTAGGAGCCTTTATGAATAGACTAGGGCTTAATATTGCTGTTAGGTGCGCCTTTTTATTAGTTGTTTATGGTGCAATGAGATTTGGTTGGAATTATTTTAGCAGCTGTTTTGATGAAATAATGACCGCTACCTCCAACTATGAATTAGCATGGGCTTGTTACATTATGTTATTGCTATTGCAATATTTTTCTACCATATTCTGATGCTGCTGACTGATTCTGATAGGCACCACAAACAACACAGGTCTCGATTTCTTAATCAACATGTTTGGTGGACTTGGGACTGGAGGTCCTGGTGTTCCCAACACTTCAAATGGTTGAAATCTATTATCTCCATCGGTGCTTGCTATTATGTTTTCTTCTTTATTCTTTGAGATGTTTTCTTGATCAGGTCATGGGTTTTATTTTCATCCTGGCAGTGCCACCGGAAGAGCTTTACGCGACTCAGCTGTCTCAGCTCCAGGAAATGGGTTTCTTTGATACTCAGGAGAACATACGGGCGCTAACTGCGACTGCAGGAAATGTACATGCTGCTGTCGAGCGACTCCTTGGGAATTCTGGCCAGTAACTTGTCTCAAAACGTTGGTAACTCGCCTTTTTAGCATGTCCTCCGTTTCAGATGCCTGATAGCTTTCATGTTTGTAAATAACATCTTCAATCTTCAATTCGAGAGTCCAGAGGATATTGAACGGAAGCCTTGCTCGTCTACCGATTTAGGTATTGTACCAGGTGAATGGTTAGTGTACATACACAGATGGTTGTATTTTGATCTAATGAATTGTGAATAGTCATAATATTTTGTCTTGTTCAATAGTGTGATGGTTTAACGGTGTCGCTGCATTCTCCATACTGCTCTTTACTCGGAAGATTTCGTTGTATTTTATTTCATGCTGCGATATAAACCTATGCAGTAGATCCCAATTCGCATGCCTCACTCATCAGAGCAGATGAGCCCTCAGGAATTATATTTAGCAGTAAGAGGCATGTGTCCTGTGAGATTCTCTTTGTTCGAGATGTTGTTTGATATGGAGAGAGAGAGAGAGAGAGAGAGAGAGAGAGAGAGGGCAGAGTTTAGAGTCAATCAACCATGCTATGCAAACCTGATCCCTCAAATGTGCTTCAAAGTACTAAAGGCAACATTGTTTCAGGTGCTCACTGTTTTTTCCTCCTGTAGTGCCTTAAAATCCAACAGAAGCAGTCGTATAAGATGAAACAAAACCAGGCCAAACCACGCCCAGCTTGCAATTGAACTAGTATGTACAAGATGACCAACCCTCAGAAACAACCATCCTTGCCCTCACTGCACCATCCTCATTTGCCATCAGAGATTCCAACGCATGATAGTTATGTCAACAGTACGGACCAGCCAATAAACAACTCCACGAGCATGGGGTTGAGTAGGCACCCTACGACATCCAATCCCTTTGGCCGTCTTCTGCAACCATTGCATCAAAGCTCATCGCACTTGGGAGTCATATAAGCGCCAAAGTTTTACCGTTGCGGCCTCTCGAGGGTGTACCAGTAACCCGTCCCAAAGGTGACGGTGGTGGCGGGGAGCTCATGATCTTGGAGTCGGGCGCTGGGGTGTATGGTTGAGATGCCACATGGTTGAGAGCAACAACCACATCAGCGATGATGGGTCGGACATGAGGCTGCTCCTGTAGACACATGGAGGCGATGACGACCAACTGGTGAAAGGGTCGCGGCGGGTAGCGACCCTGAAGAAATGGATCAGCCAGCTGGTAGAACTTCCTTCTGTCACCGAGAAAAGGTCTTGACTGAAAGAAAGATATAAGAAGTAACAGGGAGTCAGAACCATATGCAGAAGATGGAAGAAGAAGAAGCAGCAGCATAGCTAGTTGGTACTATCTCTACCGATATAATTCTATGTGAAATGGCATGTGCATTTTTGACTGTCTTTAAGAATGAATGTTGAAGTCGGTAGGTATCTACCACCCCCTAATGGATGACACCAAATTTTAGCTACAATGTTTCACAAATAAGGAGGCCTAATGTAAGATTTGTAACAAGAATGTGTTTGCAAGCAGTGTGTAAGCATATAGATCTTTCCGTGTGAGCTAAAATACATGATATGAGAAAACACTTTCATATGGAGAATGCAGCAATAACATGATTTTGTTCAAATAATTTAAGATTGGATCTATAGATCATTTCATCAAGTTTTTATTCTGATAATTCCAGAACCCAAATTGCTATATCCCCCAAGTAAAATGTCAAAGAAACTACCGGATATGTTTGATTTTGTATAAAAAGGTTCTGAACGAACAGCAAGCAAATTTTACAAGGCATTAAAAGAACTCTACATTATTTTAAAATGCATCGCTTAGCAGCAAAATCAAAATCTAGATTGATCTGCATCTTATGCAGAAAACTAGACGAAGCAAAATTTCATTTTAATTTGATTTATTTGACAGAAGTATAGCTATAGACATGTTTTTTCCTTATAGGACAATCTGGGAGGGAATTTATTTATTACTATCTACCATACAAAATGAAAGAGATCACTTCAATGATAAGATAATCACACTTATTGGAAGAGAAAATGGAAAACTGGGTCAAAAGTAATATTACTGATTGAGATTACTCACCCAAGTCATCAGTTTCTGTTGGCCGCCAATTTTTGAAGAATCAAAAGCCCTTCGTCCAGTGATCAGCTCCAACAGAAGCACACCAAAACTATATACATCAGACTTCAGTGTCAGCTTACCACTCATTGCATAATCAGGAGCACAATAGCCGTATGTTCCCATCACCCTCGTTGAAACATGTGTGTTGTCACCAACAGGTCCAAGTTTTGCAAGTCCAAAATCAGAAAGTTTTGGGTTAAAGTCGTCATCTAGCAATACGTTTGCAGCCTTCATGTCTCGGTAAATAACAGGTGGATTTGCTACATCGTGCAAATATGTGAGCCCTCTCGCAACCCCAACAGCAATTTTTATTCGTGTGTTCCAGTCAAGGTGTGGCTTGCTAGGAGGTGGATCTGAGGATTTAATGAATTAGCAAAAACACAAAAGTAAACACTTATCTAGTAAATTAACTGAAAGGTGGCCACATCATGTGGTCGGAATATAATTGTCAAATACATTGCAAACATTAGCACAATACATGAAGACAACAGCTGTCCCCAATCAAAAGACTTGGTTCAATAAACCATCAGAATTTACTGAAAATTTCATATACTGAATCTCATGAATAATTCGTAAACTAATATTTGATCCATGCTTGAACTTGATGAAGATATCAATTAGGTGCTCAAATGTTCATCAGTCCTCGATTTTTTTCGTTTACTCGTCTAAACAACAAGCAAACAATACAAGTAATACCAAACAGCCCTACAATTCAATTCATAACTTATTGAACTAGATTTGTCAAGTGAAAGACTCTTCAAACATAAACCAGAAAGATGTTATCTTCAGAATGAACAATATTGTTATAATATAAGGTATTAGTAACACTATTGTTTGGCCACAAGGTGTTCAAAAAGAGCTAGCCCAAAATGACAATCATCACAAGTCGAAATTTTGGCCAAACATAAGTGGCTAGTTGGAACAGATATACACCTCAATGTAGTCAGCACTAGTCATGCTATTAATTGGTCACTTCAAAGGGAGTTTGTCCAAAAGTTAAAAGAAATCAGTTGTACATCTTCTTAAGTTTGTATTATGGTACAAGTGACACCAGAAACATCTTCTGAAGTTTGCAAATTTGTTATGCATTTGCTTTTCATATGAACATGACCTTTTTCCCCCTCAAAACATGATATATTATGGATTAACAACAATAGATCTCATAAACCGAAGGTATTAAAGAAAATTTCTGACATAAAAGACAACACTAGAAAACTTCTGGTAGCAGCAACATCAATAAATTGTGTTTTCACTAGTACGAAGAAATAAAGAAAAGGGAATGAGAAAACAGTGCCATCGAAATGCCTTCTCACGAAAAAAAAAAAAATGTTGCCACAATTTTTCACATCTCTTTATTGCTATCCCTAACAGAAGTAGTTTCATTTGTGCCAATATGTAATGGAATCTACTCCAATGTCTTTCATATGCCAGGTTTAGAGGGCATATCTAACTAGCAATAAACTAACGAAGATCCTGGCAAGTGTCAGAACCACTGCTTGCAATGTTGGCTGAACTCAAAGTCAACCACACAAAGGAGGACATAACATGCGAAGAAGGAAATGCTATTAAACAAATCCTTTTATGCTTGACTAGAAGTATTTTCTATTCCAATCCACCCAACATAGAAAAGAAATGTGTCAGATCATCATACTAAGGAGAAGCAGAACAAACAAATAGAATAGATTACCAAACAAGTGATCTTCCAGACTGCCTTTTGGCATATACTCGTAAACCAAGAGCCTCTCATCTCCATCTGCACAGTAACCAATCAAACTCACAAGATTGGGATGCCGTAGCACGATCAGCATGAGGACCTCCACCAGAAACTCCTTGTTCCCCTGAAGACCATCCCGATTTAGCTGCTTGATAGCCACCACCTGTTCCTCAACATCCAAGTTTGATTACCAGTGCAATCTTGACGCGAGGGACAAAACTAAGCAGAAACAAGAAGAAAAACAGGGGCTTGCCTGGCCGGAATCAATTCGTCCTCTGTAAACCCTTCCAAATCCCCCTTCTCCGATCAAATTGGCTTCTCTAAAGTTCTGGGTGGCGACAGCGAGATCTCGGAAAGTAAAGCTCCTCGCGCATTTACTCGTCTCCCCGCCAGGTAATGACGCCTTCTTCCCGCTCTCTAATCCCACATAAAGAAGTCAAATTTCACGAAAAATCACGAAGAAAAAGATTCAAAATAACACAAAAACCGAATTTTGATGCAGATCGAGTAACCCACCCGAGGAATCGCCAAGGAATCTGGAGCCGGATTGGGCGCTGGCGCTATCCTCTATCCTGGAGCTCGTCTCCCTCCTGCGAGGGCTTAAACAAGGAAAGCAGCTCATCTATGGCAAGGATCTCAATCCCCAACCTCGATACCCACAAACCTGATCCCCTTAAACCCCCCCTCCCCGCCCACCTACATTGCCCTCTCGCGGAAGGGAAAGAGGGAAACCACCGCGATTTCCTCTGCCCTCCTCACCTTCAACTCCCCCCGTCCCTCTCTTTCTCGCAGTAACAAACAAAAGATCACTTTTCTTTAAGCAGAACACAACAGGGTCCAAAAGGAAACCAGCCAACCCAAGAAGAAGGCCTCCGCTAAAGGAACTCCGTCTTTACGCCAAAGGAAACAACAAGAACAGCAACGAGAACGGAAAAAGAGGCAGCCTAACGAGAATCCCGAGAAGAAAGCGGCGAGTCGGTTGACAGAAGCTAGCGACGACGACGACGACAACAGTCATCCGCACTTTTGTTGTCTTCTTCCCCTATCGTTCCATCTCAGAGAGGGCAGCCATGGAGGAGAGTAGCTTTTTTGCACCACCCCTCCTCCCTCTCTCTCTCTCTCTCTCTCTCTCTCTCTCTCTCTCTCTCTCTCTCTCTCTCTCTCTCTCTCTCTCTCTC